GCCTGCAGCTCTGCCCGGGACCCTGAGCGGTCGCGCAGCAGCACGAGGAGACCCTCGGAGGCCCAGGCGTCCCTGCAGCCATCCGCCGAGCCTTTCGCGGAGCCTGACAGCTCTACGTGGCCTCCACCTGTGGGGAGAATGGGATGGGACAGGGCCGGCGACGGTGAGAATGTGGGGCAAACGGTGGCGCTGGGTGGGAAGGGGCCCCGAACGCTGGAGCAGGTGTGACACGTGACGGGGACAGGCAGGCGATGGGCACTCACGGGTCACCAGGGCGGTGTAGCTCCAGCTCGCGCTCACGTGGCAGATGTCCCCACCTGCCCGCAGCTGCTCCGGACTGAGCACCCAACGCCCGTGCCCCGAGACCGGCTCCTGCCCGAAGCCACAGAATCCGAATCCGAACCAGGCCCCGGGCAGCTCCTCGGTCATGCCTGGGGTCGCGGACCGAGGTTGAGGCTGGAGCCTTGGAGATTTTCGCAGATTAGCTCGGGGCTGCAGTCGCTGTTACCTGCAAAAGCAGGAGATACTATCGCACAACCAGGGGCAGAATCCGGGAGCACATATTTGCTGGCCTCGCGGGAAGTCCCGCCAGTTTAAGGTTCTTAACTGTCAGGGTGTCTCGCGGTGGCTTCACCTCCGGCCAGGATCGGAGGCCCCTCTCTAGCCAACTTTTACTTCACGCCATCCCAATCATGAGAACCAGAACTGGCCTACTCTGACGGCAGACACCAGAGCAAATGACCGTACCAATCAGAGCCAGGAGAGAGCCCCGAGCCCACGTGAGCACCGGGCCGCACGCACCCCAGTAGCCAACTTGATTCACCTGCGCCCAGTTCATTTCTTCAGTTTACAAAGGGTTGATGGGAAGGGCGCTGTTGGACTCTAAAGAAATGTTTGTAATAAATGCAAATAAAGGATCCAGCGCAGGAAGTGTTAGCTCGGTAAGTCCAGTACTTAGGGAGCTGACAAAAGTGGGCATTGTACAGCTTACTGTCCAGAGACCTGGATAGCCAGTTTTCACTGGACCACATGTGGTCACTTACTCGTTCAATAAGCCTTCACTGAGCCCTCACTCTGGACCATCGTGGATGCTGTCTGCCCCCGAGGAGCTCATACTTAACGGGGTGCACAATGGACCACCTGGGATTCCGACAGCATCGCCACAGCCTCAGTGCGCCAGGTTTGGCTTGATTAGAAATTTAAGGCATTTTCAATCTTCTAAAGTCAGCTCCTGGGCTCTCAGCCCCGTCCATGCCCACTCCCAATTCAAGGAGCTCTGACCTTGATCTCGGCCCTGTGCCCGACACCCTTCCAGCAAGTCTTCCTGAAGCACAGTGGCACCTCCAGCCCGGCGCTCGGCTCCAGAAGGATAAATTTTGAAAGGCTGCGCGCCGAAAGAGGCGGCCATTGGCTGCAGCACCCGGGGCCAATCCCTCGCGAGGGCGGTGACGTCACCGCTTGAGACGAGGCGGACTGCGGCCTGTGCTCACCTCCCAGCCACTGGACTCAGCTTGAGCGTTCAGGCCCAAGGCTCGAAGGCAATCCTGTCAGTGAAATAGGCCGGGCCGCGAAGCTCAGATTAGAACCACTGAAGGTAACTATGAACATCTGAGCGAAACTATTTGCGAAGACGATGCCAGAGACTGCTCTACACAACCATCCACGCGTCTGGGCCGCAGCTCACTACTGCCCATGCGCAAAACAGAAAGGGCCGAAAAGGAAGTGGCTGTACGAGGCACGTCTTCCTTTCCATTGATTGGCTCGGGCCCCGTCACTTACACCCGCCGGCACCAATAAACTTCGTCCTGAGCTTAGGCTGGGGAAATAGCCCCCGCCTGGCAGGCAACCACCTTTCCTTCAAACTGACTCAACAGCAGGATGAACCAGTTTTTCCACAAATGCCCACGACACAGCAATCCCAAATCCCAATCACTACCTCACTAGAGGTCACCGATCTAAAGACAGGTGTACCGAGGGTCTAGTATTTAGGCGTCTGTACCTTGAAACCATTTATTTCCACCAAATTGTATAGTTTATTGGTTACTTCCTAGGCTCCCCTTGGTGCTCCAACAGCATTAAGAATCAACTCAGTGAGTCCTTGGGAGGAGTATGCAATGGATCCCTCTTTAGAGGTGGTCTCCAACCCATCCCCTGCCCTCCCTGCCCAGGAACAGGGCACACATCTGAGCCCCAAACACTTTATTACAGAGGGCTGGCAGCAGGCTCGGTGACAGATGCTCACATGTGCTGAGGCCACAAGGTGTGCTTCTTGGGGCCCAGAATCCACAATGGGCTAGGTCTGCACCTTCCCCACTTTTGCAAGTACAGAAAATCAGTGCTCTCCCCAAGTGAGGCTGGAGGCAGGGCTGGCAGAGCAGTGGTGTGGCTGAACAGAGGAATCAGTCTGCTGGGGAGGAGCTGCTGTGTTCAGCATCCCAGACTCTCAGCCAAAGCTGCTCTGTCCTTCGTGATGGGATTGTGTGTGTGAGCCGCGGAGTGGGCAGCCCCTCACTCTCCACCTTGGTTGGGCTGGATAAGCCCATATTCCACTGCTTTCCCCAGGCAGGTGGCAGCAGCCCTTGTGACGGGGCCCTCCTCGCCCTTAGCCAGCACCGACAGGATCTCCAGCACCTCGCTCTCCATTAGGGTTCTGGCGATCTCCCTCGAGGCCTCTACCATGTTCAACACCACCACAGCCCCCCTGTGCTGCAGCTCCTGGTTGGGGCTCAGAAGCAGGGCCTGGAGGATCTCCAGCCAGTGTGTGGTCTGCGAGAAATGGGACAGGTGCAAACAAGAACATCAGGCTAAATGCTGGTGAACACATCCATTTCCTAGGATGTCCCCTGACACCAGGTAGGGGTTCATGGGTGCACAGGCACTGACCACTTGGGGGATGCGGCTGCACAGGGAGGTCCGCATGGAGGTGAGCATGGCCAGGCCCCCTGCAGCTGCCCGCTGTAGCAGTTCATCATCCTCTCCACTATACAGCACCAGCAGCTTCAGCCGGTCACTGCCCTCTGCTTCAAAGAGATCCTGTACCTGTGGCCCGGTTGGGGGAGAGGACAGTGTCAGCTGGACACAAAGCAAAACCCGGGCACAGCACCCTGTGCACCCTGGCCTGCCACAGCTCCAGGGTTACCCGCACCTCCTTGCTCATGGCCAGGTTACACATGCACTCCGTGGCTGCCCGGCGGAGCATCTCATGCTCCTCGAACATGTAGCCCTCGATCATGGCTACAGCCTTCTCCTTCAGGATCTTCTGCCTGCAGGACAGAGGTAGATGTGTCAGCACTGTCGGAGCCTCTGCCCTCCCATGGTCCCATAGAGCTGAGCCCGAGCCAAGCACCTGGCAACACCCAAGGCCCTTGTGCACCAGGCAGGAACTGTACTGCTTTCCAGCCTTCTCACCAGGCCTGGGAAATAGCACAGATTTGTACAAAATGCTCACAACTAGGAGACAGGGGACTGGGATAGTGGCAGAGGCATTTGAGCACTGCAATGTCTTAATCCTCGCCACAACCTTGCTGTGAAGGTGCAGGGGTGATTATCTTACTATCTTGCAGGAGAAACAGGCTCTGTGAGCTCTGGTGCCTGAGGTCCTGAGGGGGCCCACTGCTAGACTATACACACAACACTTTTATGTGCATTTTCTAATTTCATTCTCCCCACCACTACTCCATGAAGTATACATGCCATACTCTCATCCAGAGGGAGAAACTGAGGCAGAGTAGTTAAGTAATTTGAGGTTACACACTGGTAGCAAGTGAAGCCAGGATTTGAACTCATGTGGTATCTCTTGGCCTCATGTGCATGACACAGGAGTCACTGTAAGGCTCAGAAAAGCCAACGACCAGCTGGGCATGGTGGTACAAGCCTGCAATCCTAGCACTTTAGGAGGCTGAGGCAGGAGGATACAAGTTTAAGTTCAGTCTAGGTAGCTCAGTGACTTAAGACTGTTTCACTATAAAAAACTTTAAAAAACACTTAGTATGTCATTCCCCAGTAACACACACACACACACACACACATACACACACACACACAAACGTGTGTGCGTTCAGCAATCACCAGAGAGTGTCTTCCCAACTATAACACTCTACTGGGGTGATCCCAATCCTGGTGCCTGGTCAGGCCCCCAACCCCTTGGCCCTCACCGAAGCCTCTCGCTGATCCCGGCCAGGTTTGTTAGGGCCATGAGTGCCTCAAAGTTCTGTAGTCCTGAGCGGTCGAGGTGCAGCAGGGAGACGAGGGGCCGGACCACCTCATAGATCTGTGATACACAAGCCACCTGTCAGGGCCACTTGCCGCAGCCCCCAGCCACTGCTCAGGAGCTGCTCTCTGAGGCTGTCCCTCCCTACCCAGGCTCAGAAAGCCACCCCTTCCTGTTGGTCCCAAGGCCACAGGCCATCAAGACCCAGGAAGGGGGCAGAGGAGAAGATAGGCCTGGGGCAAGATGGCACGCACCCGCTCGCCAGGGAAGGTCATCTCTGGGTTGGAGGTGATGGTGAGCCTGGCGAGGGCCTGGGCAGCCTTGGTCTGTCCCACATCAGTGCCTTCCAGGGCCAGTGGGATCAGTGCCTGGAGGAAAGAGCCCTTCAGTGACAAGACGGAGCCAGGGGCTAAGCCCAAGCCCTGAGCCCTGGTTGTGCCCTCAGCCTTCCCCTCTTTCCAGGCTGACAATGTTCCCTCAGTTCTCCTTACAGTACCAAAGCACTTGATGCAACACCCAGATGGGGCCAGACCTGAACCGGGCTGGGTGGTGGGCCATGGAAGAAAACAAGCCAGTGAGGAGGAGGTATGCTCGGCAGAGCAAGGGGCCCTGGGGAGCCATGTCAGCCCTCCTGTCTGCAGGAAGATGGTCCTGCTGCTCCCTAACAATGTTTTCTGCCAAGCTCAACCTCTGGCACAGGCAGGTGGCACAGTGTTGCTTACCTTGCCCCCGCCCTGAGCCACCACAATGCCCCGGTCCTCCACCTCCTCCACCAGAGCCAGGAAGACCCTGTGGGGATAGAACAGGCAGCCAGTGGTGGCCTAGGGCACAGGCATGGCCTGGCAGGAGCTGGGGGTGTGGCCTCCTTGGCAGCTCACCTGGAGAGCAGCTCTCGGCAGGAATTGGTCAGCACAGGGCTCTCAGTCTTTGCCATGCATGTCATGGCTGACACCACACCAGCCGCCAGCAGCTTCTTCACCCGTGCCCTCACGAAGCTGGGCTTGTCCTAATGAGTGAGGCAGCTCAGGGACCCTTGTCCAGCTAGACTGGGAAAGGGGACCCTTCCCACTGAGGACAATGATATTCATCAAAGGGAAATGGCCAGATTCTGGGAAGGTTGCTCTACGGCAGATGCCCTAGGCCAAAGGTCCCCAGAATGGAAAGACCTGACTTCGGATGGTCCTCACCTTGGGGTGCTGCTCAGGCACGTGCTGTTTGGCGTACTTGGCCAGCTCTACCATCTTGGGGTCAGGTTCTTCGTAGTCGTAGCTGTTAGTGCAGTTGACTAGGGCTGAGGCCACCGCAAAGAGCACAGATCTCTCCTCAGACTGCCAGGGCAGAGGGGCATTCAGCAGGCCAGGTGGGGGCACAGGGAGCCTACAGTCTACCCCCAACCCCTCCAGAGAGGTCACCCTTCCTGACACCACTGGTGCCCACACCCATGGAGTAGCTGCTCTTCCTCCTGGGACAGGGTCCCCAAGGTAACAGCGGAAACCCAGGAGCTACCCTGCTGAGCTGGAAGAGAGCCTTTAGAGCGGCCCCGTCCTCCACAAACTCTTCCTTCACGTCAGCGTCAAAGGTAAGGTAAGCCAGGCCCTCCACAGCCCAGCGCCGTGTGCCTGCATCGATCTGGTCATTGCAGAGCCACCTAGGGACATGCAAGGCAGGAGACAGTATCAGACCTGGGGAGCAACAGGGGTATAAGCACAAAGGGGGGACTCCAGGGCCTGAGCACCCCTCAACACAATGGAAGCAGGTCATGTGCCAGGGTCCCAGGGATCTGCCTGGGCATGGGGGGCAGTGAGGAGGGCTCCCCACACCCACTCTCTCTTGAGTGATCAGACAGGTGAGGAGCCACAGCAATGCCACACAACTCACTTCCGACACTGCTTGGCCAGCTTGAGAGTGGAGCCTTCTGCAAACTGCTTCATGCTAAAGTCAGTCCCTCCAGCTGAGCCGAGCTTGCAGAGACCCTGGTGGAAGGCACAAGACCAGTTGATGGGCTCCTGGGATGGAGGCCTCAGCTCTAGCCTGGGCCTCCTGCATGGCTCTCTGGAGGCCACCCACACTAACCAGCATACCCCACCAGGCACCACTGCAGCATCTGGCAGCATGACCACCTATTGAGTGGCGGCCGGACAGGATGTCTGGGATGGAATGACACACGGGCCACTGCAGCGTCCTGGGCCCACTCCTTCCCAGTCTTCACTGAGAGCTGCTATTCCCTTCTACGTCATACGAAAAGCCCTTTGCAAGCAGAGCCAAGACACTCATGGGGAAAAGAGGGGCTTCAGGCAGTCAGGCCCTCATGAGACAGAAAAATCAGCACTTGGCCAAAGGAGAACCAACTTCTATGGGTCCACAGCAAGCTGGTGGAGGGCCAGAAAGTCCTCAAACCACCAGCTCCTGGGGACACTATGTGACCCCTGCAGACCCAGTGTCCTCTCTGTCCCTGGCTCACCTCCCTGATTTGACCAGAACCTCTGTGGTGAGAGGAACCAGGCCCAGGCCTCTGGCCCAAATGGTGCACTGAAATCCCCATGTTTAACGAGTGTGGGGACCTCAGGGCGGAGCACAGGCAGGATGTCCCCCGCAGCCCACCCGGCCCATCTCACCACTAGTGCCCGGATACGGATGCTGTCCTTCTCACTACGCTTGTATAGGTCTTTCAGCAGTGAGACGCCGTTGGCGGTGATAAATGAGGCTCGCTTGGCCTTGCCAGCTGCGTAGATCAGCGCCTCCACAGCTACCAGCTGCTGCTCCTCCTGCTCAGAGGCGCACAGGGCAATCACGCTCTCCATGACACCACTCAGCTCCAGGGCCCGGTTGCCAGCATCACACGGGCCCTGTAGGAGGCAGGAGACCGTCTGGATGGCCCGAAGCTTCCCAGCCAGCCCTTGGCCTTCAAACCAGCTCCTGAAGGACACAGGGTGACAGTAGTTACACCAAGGCACACATAAAGGGACACTCCTTTCCTCTCTTCCCCACTGTCCAGGTCAGAAACTGCAAGAAATGCTGCTACCTAGCTGGGCATGGTGGCACACGTCTGTAATCCCAGCACTTGGTAGGCTGAAGCAGGAAGACCGCTGTGAGTTCAAGACCAGCCTGGGCTATATAGTGAGTTCCAGGTCAGCCTCAACTACATAGTGAGACCGTCTCAAAACAAACAAACAAACAAAAAAAAGCTGCTACCAGAAGAGTGGTAAACTGGGCATGGTGGTAAATGCCTATAATCCCAGCTTTTGGGAGGCAGAGTCAGGAGGATTGTTGTGAGTTTGAGGCCAGCCGGAACTAAATAGCAAGACCCTGTCACCAAAAAAGAAAGGAAAGACTGGTATTTCCACCAGGATGACAGTCATCAATTTTTTTTCTTTTTGTGCAGCCCTGGGGATTGAACCAAAGGCTTTTACACTGAGCTACACTCCCTTCTGTTTTGAGCCAGGGTCTTGCTAAGCTGCCTAGGCAGAACTCCAGCTTGCAAGATTCCTGCTTCAGCCTCACAGAGTCCGGCATTACAGGTGTGCACTGCAAGTGTGCCCAGTACTAGTTTTCTTTCTACTTCCATTCACGCCTTCCCTGGTGACACACAGGTAACTCTCACTCTCTTCACCTGCTGATCCCCTTTCCCGAACTGCTTATGATCTGAGGTAGCTGTTTGTCTCATAATGTATCACCAGTTCATACAGTATCACAACTCCTTAAGGCAGAGGACTATCTGTATCCCTCCCGTATTGGGACAGATACAGGAAGGTGCCATAAACACAACCTGTGCTGTGCTGTGCTGTGCTGTGCTGTGCTGGGGCCGGGGATTTAGCTCAGTGGTTCTGCTGCCTGCCTTGCAAGTGCCAGGGCCTGAGTTCGATCCCCGGTACCAAAAAAACCAAAACAACAAAAACCCCAACCACAACCTGTGCTGGATGCACTGGATGTTATTAGTGGGAATCAAGCTGAGCAAACCTCCCTGTCCTGGTTACTTTGGAACAAAATGTGGGCCAGGTACAGCAGTACAGGCCTACACCTGTGCTCCCAGCTAGGTGGGGATCCAAAGCAAGGGGTCCAGGCCAGCTTAGCAAGACCCTGTCTCCAAAAAAGAAAAAATGAAACGGGCCTTGGACTTTGTCCAGCCCTCCCCAGTGCTCCCCAAAGCTTCTCTCATTGCTGAAAGCCCATCATTTCTGCCCCTGTTCTGAGGCTGCACTTTGCTGCAGTGACCTTGGTGATGGGAGGGAGTGACCAGCCTTACTTGATGTAGTTCTCACAGAGTCGGTGGAAATTTTCCCGCTCAGCATCACACTTCAGGTCATCAAAGAGCTTGCTGAGGAGAATGGAGGCGCTCATGCGGCTGTTTGCTGTCACCTCAAGCTCCCCGGTGGGGTCCTGCAGTGAGCCCCCCACCTGCAGGATCTTTTTCAGACCTGAAAAGGAACCCACTTAGACAGGACACCAGTGCTCACGCCTACAGGGAAAGGGAGGCAGCTCCTGGGGAGACACCCAGAGAAACAGGACCCCGCTTAGCTAGGCGGCCTCAGAGGTGAGGTGGCATCAAGGCACCTAGGGAACCTGGCTGGCCCATCCACCACCCGGGAGAGGCAGCTGTGCCTCGGGGAAGGCTCAGGTGAGAGCGCTGTGTGCCAGCCCCACCACAGCACAGTGCTCTGGACTCTGCCACACTACAGGGACAACACCCTGGACCCAGAGAGCCACCATGACGACCAGATAGAGGGGTGTATGCAAGGACCTGGCAGATGTGTTCAAGCAGGGTCTCTGCAAGGCTTTGCTTAAGAGAAATGTAAATTGATAGGTTAACATGTGTTTTTTTCTGAGTATAGAATACACACTCGCTACTAAAGACTTCAGCTATGTATGGTGGTACAGCCTGTGATCCCAGGACTGAGAGGCAGAGGCAGGAGGGTCATGGATTCCAGACCATCCTGGGCTACTAAGTGCTATCTCAAAATCCAAACAAACAGTCAGAGGTGGTGATACATGGCAATCTCAGCACTAGGGAGGATTGCCTGAAAGTTCAAAGCCAGCCTGAACTACATAACAAGACCCTGTCCCAAAAAACAAATCAAAAAACAAACTACTGTGTTCTCTCCTGCATGCTCTGTAGGGTATACTGCTTTTCCTGCATTTACTTGGCCCAAATTCGCTCCACAGAACCCGTTTCTTCTCCTACTTTTAATAAAACTTTGCTACTATTGAATAAAAAAAACCAAAAAACACCAAGCTGAGCATGATGGCACACATCTGTAATCCTATCACTCAGGTGGTTGAGGCAGGAAGATTGCTGAGTTCAAAGCCAGCCTGAACTGTACATCAAGACCCTGTCTCAAAAAGACAAACACCATCCAATCAACCAACCAAAAAAGACTTTAGGCCCAGAAAACTACTCTAACCTCTCCATTAACTTCACATTCCTGCTTGATGCACATGCATTTGTACATGCATGCGTGCATACATACAACCGAAGCTTGAACTCTCTGAGACCACTACATAAGTCACACAGGCATATGCTCAATCACCACTTTTCACCTGCCTTGGTCAATGACCCAGAGGGTGAGGCTGTTGTCAGGGTCCTTAGGAGATTTCCGGGGCACCGTTTTGATCAAGAGGGTCAGGGCATTGTCTCGGCCCTGGCCAGAGACGCCCACCTCAGTTAACAGCTCCAGGAGGTTACTGATGAGGACCTTCAGCTCCCGGCCAGGCTCTGGCAATGAGAACACACGCATGGTCAGCGAGACCCTGGGTTCACTCTCAGCAGCCCTGCCCAAAATAAGGGACTACACTGGGCTCCACAGTAACTGGGCTCTGTGACCCTTGACCCCCCCCCACCAAGCCGGGGTGACCCAGGGAAGGGATGCTTGCTGGTATCTGGGCTGAGCTCCAACCTCCCCCATAGGCATCTTGCCTGCTTAGACTCTTGAGTAAAATCTGGACAACTTGCACCTGCGAGTCTGGTTCCAAAAGAACCTACCTGGCTGGTCAGGCCCTGTCCCCTCTGCAACAGAGTTCTCCACAGGGCCCCAGCCCTGCCTCCACTCACCCACAATGATGGCACCCTCTTTGCCTCGGAAGCCCTTCTTGACGCCTTCCTTGAGGGCATCAAACATCACCTGCAGCAGGTGGCAGGCAGCCAGGGACACAGCCTGGTTTTCCACGCCTAGGATGGATACCACGCACCGAGTTCCCAGCACGCTCAGGGTGGCCACTGTCTGGGGATGAAAAGCGGACAGCTTCAGGTCAGCAAAGAGCAGCCACAGTGATTGCTACCTTGGAGCTAGGGCATGTGGCCCAAAGGAGAGACAGCACTAGGCAGGAAGGACCAGGGCTGTCCGATAGTGTGACCTGGCATCATGACAGATGGCTTTGTTGGAAAGGCTTCCTGAAGAGCACAGTCCAGAGCCAGAGGAGACAGGGACCATTCTGGCCCTAGGAGCAGCTGTATTGGCTCATGTTTCCCAAAGGAGACATGGAAAGCAGACCACCAGGCCCAAGGACACCTAATTCCTCCCTACTCCAGCCCTGAGGTCTGACTCCACCTGGGGATGTGGGCATGCACGGGATGGGCCTGTGAGGCCCCTACCTCATTTCTATGCTGGAGAACCCAGAAGGAGTACGTGGGGAGGTAACAGAAAGTAAACAGGTTGACCCAGAAATACAGCCTGTGCTTGGCCCAAAGACACTGCACTGGGTACTTCCCGTTCCACTTCTGACACTCAGTTGAGAGCTGGGGACATGGATTTCACCACAGTGGCCCAAGAATAGGACAGGACTGTAACTGGCAGAGAGCACAGTCTGTGCTGAGAATCAGGTCACTATGTTAATGGTAAAGATGCCATGGGTCACTCTGACCACATCATTAGCTGAGGAAAAGCCAGTCTGATCTAAACACATGGCCAGGACAAGTGCCCTTCTAAGTGCCAAAATGTGAACACCAATCAAGTCAGCAAGCCCATGTCTGGGAGCTGGCTGCAGAAAAGCAGTGCTTGGTGCTGGAAGGCTGTTTTTTTGTTGTTGGTTTTTTGTTTTGTTTTGTTTTGTTTTTGTTTTTGAGACAGGGTCTCACTATCTAGTTCAGACTGCCCTGGAACTCACTGTGTAGCCCAGGCTGGTCTTGAACTTGGAGCAATCCTCCTGCCACAGCCTCCCAAGTGCTGGGAGTACAGGTATGTACCACCATGCCCGGGTTTGGAAGGCTGTTTTTGACCTTCCTGGCACTACTCCATCCTAACTCATGTTGGCCTTTTTGGTGCTGTTTTTCTTTTTCCTCTCCTGCCTCTTACCCTCTGCCTCCTTAAATTCTTTTTGGAATAAGGTGAAGGGTAGAAGCACAGATGGATGGACAGTGCATGGATAAGACAGATGGACCTCTGTCCCGCCTACCCGAGACTGGTGCTCAGAGCAAATGCCGACCAGCGTGCGCAGGGCCGCCAGCATGAGGTCCGTCTCTCCTGTGTCCAGCAGGCGCTGTAAGAGCTGAACCCCATTGTTCCGGAAGATCTTCTCAGCTCCAGCATCCTCCCGCGCCAGCACCACCAGGTTCTGAGAAGCCTGTGTTAGAGGAAGCACACTGTGGCAATGACAGTCACTCTGCACCCAGCACAGGGCACAGCAACCAGAAGATCTGAGCTCTGAGCTTCACAGCTGCCACTCAGCAGATGGGTGACACTGGCTGTAAACCTAATTAAACTTCAGCTTCTTACAGAGAAGGAAGAACCTGCTCTCAGGGTTGACAGCGACAGTAAATGAGTCCTCAAGAACTGAGTCCCAAGCAGAGGCTGAAGGGCATGGCAGTGCCCAGTCACCCCTGTACACCCAGCTGTGGCACAGGCCCTAGCCAGCAGGACACTCTGTGAATGGGTCACCTTCCCTGGTTCACACCAGGGCCCCAGGCCCTTGGAGGCCCATTTAGGACATGTGACTCAAGGAGCCATGGGCTGCAGCAGCCAGGCCAGCAGATGTCTAAGGCCCACGCTAGCCCAGGTGTAGGATGACAGCTGTGGTGGGGGCTCCGCTTGCCGGCCTGGGCCAGGGATACCTTCTGCTTCTTCTCAGTGCCTTTCTCTTCTGGGTCCAGCAGTATCTGGAACATCTGCTCCACCTTGGCATCTGTTGAGGACATGTATCGCACCTACAACGAGCCAGCAAGAAGCAGAAGAAATTACCGCTCCTGGCTGGAGACATCGCGCCCTGGCTTGTTCTCCCTGGCTCCCATCTCTGGGCGGTAGAGCAGACAGCTGAGCTCAGGCCCAGCACCATGCCATGCCATGCAGAGCAGACTTGCTAAGAGCCTCCCCTAACTTCCCATGGTCTTTCTGTCTCTCACCTATTTCCTGCTTGCACACTAGGACAGCAGTGATACCTCAGGCAGTGCCATCTGGGAACATCTATGTCAGGGGAGCTTTGTGTGCTCCCACAGCACTGAACTCGCAGTTTGTTTATGTCTTGCAGGGAGCTGCTAACATTCCTTTGGGCTCCAGAATTCTTTTTTTTTTTTAGTCTGGCCTTGAACTCATGGTGATTCTTCTGCCTCAGCTTCCTGAATAGTGGGATTACAGATGTATACCACAACTCCCAGCCAGAATTCTCTTGATAGTTTTAAAAAATAATCTGAATGGGCAAGATCATCCCAAACCTACTCCCATACCCTCCCAGGGTCCTGGACACAGACAGTGGCATAAGCCCAGCATGTACCATTCTCTCTTCCCCCTTTGTATCCATGACAGACACGACTGATCACAGCATGTCCCCAGCTAAGCTTGGAAAATCTGCTTCCTAACCCTTCTCAACATAGCACCCTAGGTAGCTGCTGCCATTCAGAGCTGGCACTAAGAGAAAGCTATGTGCTTACCCAGGTCTCAACCTTTCAATAAGCTGTCACAGTTGTTTCCACTGTGGCAATGCGTTAACTGTCAGTAGCCAAATTATTTGGTTAATTCAAGCTTGGTTATAGCTCATGATGGTCTTTCGGTTCATTTTTATAAGTCAATTTAAAAATACATCTATTATAATAGAGGAGTGTGGTGGCACAATATTGTAACCCCTACTCTTTGGGAGGCTGAGGCAGGAGGATCGTAAGTTTGAGAGTAGCCTGGGCAACTTAGCAAGACCCTGCCTCAAATAAAAGACAAAAAACCAAAACAAAACAAAAAAAGGAGCCAGGCATGGTAGCACATGCCTGTAATCCCAGCACTCTCAGAGGCTGAGGCAGGAGGATTCAAGTCTCATGTAGGAAATTTAATGAAAACCTGTTTCAAAACAAAATAAAAAGAGTTGAGGATGTAGCTTAGTGTGAAGGCCCAAGATTCAATCTCTACAAATCAAAGTCTCCTTTGGAAGGGAGGCCCAATCCCATTCTTTTCCCCAAGGGTCACAATATTATCATTTTGATAAATAGATTTTAAAATATTTTTCATTGTCTTTACATGTATTTACCCAAGTATACCCACAAAAAATAGTATTTTGGGGGTATGCATATAGGAGATCATTCCACCATAAATAACATCCCACTTATGTGTTATTGTATATCTTGCTTTTCTTTAACTCAACAAGTATCAGAGAGCTTTCTATACAAAATGCACGGACCAGCTGGGCGTGGTGGCGCACGCCTGTAATCCCAGCACTCAAGAGGCTGAGGCAGGAGGATCGCTGTGAGTTCGAGACCAGCCTGGGCTACATAGTGAGTTCCAGGGCAGTCTCAACTACATGGTGAGACCCTGTCTCAAAAAAACAACAACAAAAAAAAACAACAAAAAAAAAACAAACACGGACCTACCTCTTCTCATCAACTACCACATAGGAGACTATAATAGGGACACCACTCAGTTTGCTTAACTATTCTCCTATTACTGGGCATGTAGGCAAGTTCCAAGTTTTCCTTACAATAAACAAGGATGGAATAAACATGCACATGCCTGCTTATGCACATGAATAAAGTTTCCTGAAGAATAACAGGAAGAAGTAAACAGACCAGGTCTTAGGTATGTTCCCTCAAAATTTTAATAGAGGGGTTGGGGTTATTGCTCAGTGGCAGAGCACTTGCCTAATGTAAGTGAGGCCCTGGGTTCATCCCCAGCGAATAAACAGATACATAAACACCATAATAGACATGCTCCAGAGGAGCGGTACCAATTTTACACCTGCCCCAGCATTCATGACTGTCCATGTCCTTCAACTTCCCCACTGAAGTGTACTCCTCACAGAGTGTACAAACTTTACATGTTTGCCAAACACCTTTGTTTTAATTTGCTTTCTCTAACCACTGGGAAAGTTGAGCATCATTCTACACTCGTTTGCCATCAGTAGCTACTCTCCCTAGTGCTGCACTACGTCCCTTCACCACAGGTCAGTGCCCTGATCACGCTCAGGCTCCACATACCTTCTCCTGAATCTGGCCCCCAATGTTCCGCAAGGCCTCCTGGAAAACTTTGCTCTTGGGCTCCAGGCTCACACATCTCTGCAGGTCAAGGACAGCCTGGTCCAGGCGGCCCAGCTTCTCTAGGGCTTGACTCCTCCGGTAAAGCGCTTTGACATCACCACCGTCCGTGTCAATGGCTGAGCACAAACAGGAGCTCTGTCAGCTCCCAAGAAGCCACTGTCTCCAGGCAAGGGCAGTAGGGAAAGATCTCGAGGGCCAGAGGAAGGTGGGGAGACGGAAGTGGGGCTTGGTACTTCAGCCTCAAAAGGTGAGGATAGCTGCGGAAAAGGAAATGCCCGAGAAAGTGGGAAAGAAAGCAAGCAGGCATATTTCAGAGCCAAGGAAGAAGATGGAGTGATGGTCCCAGAGTCCCTGCCCATCACAGAACCCCACCCACGGCGGCACACCAGGGCCCATTCCCTTACCTTTGGATGCCTCCGTTTCTGCTTTCTCATACTCTTCCTGTAAGAGCAAGATCAGGAGCCTAAGAAGAGTCATCTCCCTTCCCAGGCACTAACCGGCAACAGGAGGACTTGCTCTCCAGTCACCCGATGCCCCTCCACCCTGAGGCCCAGAGACACCGGCAACCATGAGTGGTCTGGGAAAGTGAGTGTTCAGCCGGCCGGGTAGGCAGAAGGACAGTGGCCCCCGCCCTCACCAGCTTGAGGTGGCAGGCGGCCCGGTTCCGGTGCAGGACGGCCTGGTCCTGGGGCGTGGCTCCCAGACCCAGAGCCTGGGTGTAGGCCGTCAGGGCACCCTCGTAGTCTCCGCATTTGAACAGCTCATTGCCCTCCTGGCGTAGCTGCTCCGCGGAGCTGGCCTGTGGGGGAAAGGGAGGGAACGTCTGGTGGGCTCACGGTGGCTCAGGGAAGTTACTAGGGGAAGAGAGGAATAGCTCCACGGAAGGACAGGGATGGGCCGGAGGGAAGCCTGGGAAGGGGCAGCCAGGTGCGACGGTGTGACGGACAGAAGGCTGAGTACGTATCCCCAGGACGGTGAGCCAGGGCTCGGGGGGGCCGGGACCACTCACAGTCATCACGGTGCCGAAACCCCAGACTCGCGCAGGCGCAGCGTCTGCGGTGGAGGCTACACTGGGCCGGGGGAAAACGCACGCGGGATGCCACGCCCCTTCGCGTCAGAGCTGGGCGAGCAGAGGAAGGGGTGGAGCCAAGGGGAGAGCGGTCCAGGCCCGCCCGCCGGTGTAGAGGCGTCCCTGGAGCTCCTAGTCTATTCCCGCTGGGACCTGCAGGGGGCGCGCGGTGGAGGACGAAGGGCGGGGCCTGTGGCGGAGTTCGCTTCGGCCCTGCCAGCGATGGCGGTAGAAGTGCAAGAAGTCCGCAATCACCAGGGCCACCAGCAGTAGGCTATAGAGGCCCAGAGCTAGGAGAGAGCCTGGGCCCCTGCGGGAGAGAGGCGGGAGACTATCGGGATCGCGCAAAAGTGCAGGACCTTAGCCCTGGGTAAATGCAGACTTGCATGCTCACATTTGCAGACAAGTGTAGGAGCTCCGGGATACCCCTAGCGGCTCACTATACTGTATGTAACCCACGGAGTACTTGATTCTCAGTGTTGCCACCAAGACCCACCTCTGCGTCCCCAACATATACCATGAGGCTCCCTGTTATCTGCCTGCTTTCACAGCCTCCTGACAACCCTACCCCATACTGAAGAGTACAGAATCCACCCTGTACTGGAGATTGAACCCAGGGCCTTCGCACTGAGCTACATTCCCAGCCCTTTTTGTTTTTCATTTTGGGACAGGCTCTAGGCTAAGTTGGTAAGTTGTCCAGGCTGGGCTCTAATTTGTGATCCTGCTGCCACCATGTCCGGCCGGCTACCTTCACAGTTTTTTGTGATTATGACTTATGTGGGTTTTCGCTTTGCTTTCTGTCTCTCCACACATCTGTAAGCCACAAGCCTCCCATCCCAGAATTTAGGAACACAGCCAAAGATACTGGACCGCCCTGGCAGTGTCCGGGGCTGGAGCTCTCACCTGAGGATGCGTAGGGGTGGAACAGCCGATAGGTTGACCTGATACAGGGCCTCAAATTCAGCGCGGGTGCAGCAAGAGCCCCTTTTAGACTGCAGGTGGCAGCAGTAGGCCTCCTCCCGAGAATCAGAGAGTCGAGGACAGAAGAAACCAGGGTGGTGGCGGCCATCCGCATCTCGGGTGGCCTGGCACAAGTAGGGGTGGTGAACCAGTGCTAAAGAGAGAGGCAAGAGGGCTGAAGACATGCAAGCGGCGTCTGCCCATATCCTTTTGGCCTCAGTCGAGAGAGGAAAAGGGATCGGCTCCTCTGGAAGAGAAGCGCAGCACCCTAGCTGCTCTGGGAGCAGCCTGGGGTGAGGGAGGTGCTGTACCTGAGCCGGAGTTGGGCTGGGCCAGGGTCCTCCAGCTGAACAGCAGCAGCAGCCCCAGGGACAGGCCTATCAGTAAGGGGCCGGGCCTCCTCCTCTGGCAGCCCATGAGAGTCACCTGCACCTCAATCCTGGTCCTAGGAACCCCGACATCTCTCTGTCTAAACCATGACTACAGAAAGTAAGGAATTAAAAATCAAAGAGGCTTCTCAGGCACCATTAACATAAAGCCCAGGCTCTTTTGCCACAGGCTTCTAGAAAAACATAAGCAACTCCATGGCTGTCATCTGCTGGAAAATACAGGGCCTGGAAAATATAGTGGCTTCCATCCGTCCAGGGTTTTCTGAGCTGAAGGGGAGAAGGCTCAGAGGACTAGAGGAGGGTGTGAGGGATAAAAGAGGAGTAATGCCATCAGCCTGAAGATCAGACAAGCGCTCAGAAACAAATATGTTTCTCTCTAACCACTCTGACTTCTGACTTCTAGGCTGCTGTGAAGCTCTGGGAATTCTGACAATTCCATTTGAGTCCCCAGAGACCTCAGCTCCAGCTGTGGGACTTCCCTCCCTAACCACGCAACATGACAACTACCAAGCCCAGATGAAAACCAAGGGCTTTCTTTTTCTGTTTTTTTGCTCTATGAAACTTCCCTGTAAAGAGAGATCCTTGGCTACCCACTTGGCACACCTCCTGCCTCTCCGGAGCTAGCCTCTTAATAAATATTTCCCACTGTTAACCTTCATTGTTCCTAGAATTCACCAGACATCTAACGGGTTGGGAATTTTAATATTTTCCTCATATCATTTGGAGGTCCTAGTTCATCTCCTGTATTGTCCCTGTGTCACAATGACTGGCAATTTTAGGCATCAGTCTAGGGAGTCTAGAACTGGACGCTGTAAAAGGTGGAAGCTGGATATCCCTGAAAATCCTGAAAATTACTTCATTTACTTTAGGTGTGGCTGGTCTTGACTGTCGATGGGACAGGCTAGGTGAGTCTAGGGCCAAGAAATCTATGCATTCCTAGTTTTCAGACAGATACTCCCTAAGTGATGAACATACCTACATGAAGAGCTGAGCAGGGAGCTGACCTAAAATTATGAGGTAATGAAGGAGACAGATACAAAGAGGAAGGCAGAGCTGGGCATGGTGGCACAAGCCTGTAGTCCCAGCATTTGGAATTACTTCAAGTTCAAGGCCAGTCTGGGTTATATGGCAAATTCAGGGCCAAGCTGGAATACATAGTGAGACCTTCTCTCAAAAATAAATCAAATCAAATAAAAAAGGCAAAGCTTCATCCTATTTTTAGTTACTCTTTGGGCACCTGCAGATTCGTGTTATGGAGGAAGCCCTTTGGGGGATCTCCAGGTCTCTTATCCCTCATATCTCATACCAGCCATTCCTAAGGCAGGGAATTTCCCCAGAAGGCCCAGGGCCACCAGCCCACAGAGTCGTTATTCAGGTGTTTACCCAAACAAGACAACAAGGTGCTCCCAGAACAGCAGGGAGGAGACTCAGCACCCCAGGGGCCTCCAGCAGCTGCTTGGGGACTGAAGCTGGAGATCCTTACAGCACAAGAAAGCAATGCAAATTTTGTCCTAACTCTAAGAACAAAGACAGATCGCACAGAAACATCACTGCTACCTGGGAGCCCGAATCTGAAGCAGTTAGGCAAGGATCCCAGGTCAAAATTCATTTTCCCCAAATTCAGGCCCTACCATCTCCTGGGCCTACAACAACAGGGGCCACAGTTGCAGGGACAACTATTTTTAGAGCACTTTGAGTTTTTGCTGCATTGACAGGTTAAAGATTGCCTTTTACTCCCGGGAGTGTTCTTTATCCACGGAGACCCGACAGTCCCCTGTGCCTTTCAGCCCTAAATTCAGGGGCGCATTGTGAGGCCACTGCCTAATTTCTCGTTTGTTCTTGCCGCTCTCCAAGACCGTGGGCTCCCAGAGAGCTAGGCTGAATGAGGGGCTGCAATACGGCAGGAACTCCCAACACCAGTTTTCTCTGTGCTCAGGACCTCAACCAGGAGAGGGACTCTCAGTTGCAGCAAGCCCTTGGTACTCCGGCACGCCAGGGGCGCTGCAGGCGCTCTGCCCTGAGTCAGCTACTTCTTCCCTCCGCGCCACCCGCGCGATGGGCTCAGAGGTCGCGCAGCTCTTGGAGGCTGCAGACTTCGCGGCTCGAAAGCATCGACAGCAGAGACGAAAGGATCCGGAAGGGACCCCCTACATCAACCACCCCATCGGTGGGAGCGTTGGCCGGGGAGCAGATCCTCCTGGCATATGAGGGGGTGGTGGGGGCTGACTGGGAAGGGACAGCAGAGGCACACACCTCATCGAGCGTTTCATTTCTTCCAAGCTTTGTGCCAGGCACCGATCGCGCGGTGTGCCGTTTAACGACAACCCAGGGAGGGTAGGCATGATTGTTGCCTTGGCGCGGTTGGCTGACGGAGAGGGTAATGGATTTACACGGTCACCCAGTTAGTGAGGGGCCAGATCCACAATACTGGGTCTTCCTCCCGTCTGACTTGTGCTGTGCCCCTGCCAGGTGTGGCTCGGATCCTGACCCACGAGGCAGGAATCACTGACATTGTGGTGTTACAGGTAATTTTACCCCTTGGCTACCAGGAAGCTCGGGTGGGGATCAGGAGCCCCGTTCACCAACGGGCACCCCTCCGGCGGCATCACAGGGCTCATTGGGAGCTTGTCTCTAGGCGGCTCTGCTCCACGACACCGTGGAAGACACAGACACCACCCTGGATGAGGTGGAGCTGCACTTTGGAACCCAGGTACGGCGATTGGTGGAGGAGGTGACAGATGACAAAAGTCTGCCCAAGATGGAGAGGAAGCAGCAGCAGGTGGAGCAGGCGCCACACAGCAGCCCAGGTGCCAAGCTGGTGAAACTGGCAGACAAGCTGTATAATCTGAGGGACCTGAACCGCTGCACCCCGGCGGGTACGGTCCCACTGGCCCTGAGGGATGGGAAGGGGTTGTCTTCCATCTGCAGATGGGTTGGTCAGTTCTCCCAAAAGGGGCCTGGGCATGCTCAATTCCCAAAAAGAATCCTCCTAGTATGGGCTTTTTTTATTTTTGGAAGCCCAATTGCAGCCTTTGTTTAAAACAAAACACAGCTTGTAAACTGTGATACAACTGGCAGAGCCCTTTCACGGGTATGATTTATTTACATCAAGTTTAAGACTGTTAGCAGTTCAGAGACAACAGAAAAGAATTAAATTAAGAAAACAAAACAATTGAAAATATATTACAATAACTATAAAGGACAAATACCTGACAAGACCGGTAGTGGGATCCATGACTGACATAGTTAAATCTCATGTTGTCTCACTGTGTCCTGTGTCCCCTTAGCAATAGTCTATGCTCTATGCTCCCAACGCCGCATACACCTTTGTTATAAACATTGAGTTTTAAGGAATTTGAATTGGCATGTTTTATTTAGGACAAAGTTCTGTTAATCATCACGAAATATTCAAACTTTTAGATTGGTCTCAAACTCACAGTGATCCTCCTGCCTCAGCCTCCTGAGTGCTGGGATTATAGGCGTGTGCCACCATGCCGGACTTCATTCAAATTTATTTTTACCAAGCACAAAATTGAGGTTTCTTCACTGAAAGTCATTACAGGATCAGTAAATCTTTCCTAAGACCAACACAATAGCCAGGCCAATGGAAGTTTACAGGACTGATCATCCCATAGGGAACTCATGGCCCTATACCAAGCCCTCTAGTAGGGAGGTAAAAGGCCATGCTGGCCCTGACACCCCATGAGCAGGCTTCTCTACTCTTTTGTAGGATGGTCAGAACATCGTGTCCAGGAGTACTTTGAGTGGGCAGCACAGGTGGTGAAGGGGCTTCAAGGAACCAACCAGCAGCTGGAAGAGGCTCTAAAGCAGCTGTTTAAGGAGCGAGGGCTGACAGTCTGAGTGGTGCCTGGAGCCACCTGGAGACTTGGACTCCGATCTCACCCAGACCCCCACCCCGTTCATGCTCCAGTTCTTTGGCGCCTCCTGACTGCCCTCCCTGACTCCTTTACTCAGATGCCAAAGGTTGAAATGAAGCCATATGCATTTTCTCTGAAGAGAACCGACTGAGCTGAGCCCTGGATGTGGGGCTCAGATGTATCCCATCCATTTTCTTGTTCTTTCTGTTTGCTATTTTGCATGGTGGGCTCTCTATCCCCTCAGGGATTTGCCTTGTATAAACACTGGTTTGTGAGTCATTATGGAAAATAAAGCATTTTGAGTAAAAGGCTTGAATTGCCTCTGCTCCTCCTCCTCCAGCTTCCTGTACGGGGGACTGATATGTGGGTTGCCTGTTGTCTCCAAGCAGGGCATGATGCTAATTGTGTACCTCAACCCCTCCAAGCCTGGCTTCCTCAGCAGTGAGGTGGATCCTGTAATTATCAGGATCAGATTATACGACATTCCTGAGGGAGCCTGACATGGGGACTCTCAAGAAGGGGTCCGCACTGGGATAGCTGGGAGGGATGACAGGTGCAACCCTAGCTGGGCACGGGACAGACCTTAGCAGTCACATGGTAAGGTCTGCGGAGGACTTGCAGCCGCAGAAACTCGGTGTTCTGCAGCTTTCCTCTGCGCTCAGTTAGCCGAGTTCTTCGGTTGCTAAGCAGCAGGAACTTCCGGAGCGCCCCCAAAGGACCCTAGGGAGGCCTCGCCCACGGGGGCGGAGTCTGGCGGGCAGAGTCCGCCCCAAGCGAGCTTCCTTGGGGTTTCGTGGGTGTGCGCCAAGGCGCTGAGGCTTCTTAAGCTTCCTTGGAAAGTGACCGTTTAGGGGACGAGAAAATTTAGGTCAGATGGCTTACCGTGGTTATTTGCCCAAAAGAAGGTCCCACGGTGGGGTCTGCGAAAAAATAGGCACAGGACAACCAAAAAAGCTTGTTTTGAAAGAAAAGGAGTTTCAGGATAATCCCAGATAAAAAGATGAACAACATTCGGTCTAATCCTTTTAAAGCACACCTAGGCTATGGTGCCTTCTGGTTTAAAATTTTTAATCTTTTTTTAAAATAAGTTTTGCTGGAGCGGGATTACATGAATTTTTAATATACTCAAGTGAAATAAGTCACACATGTGTAAATACCGAATAGTTTCTCTGGGGTGAAAAACTATAATAATACACAAGATCCTAATAGGATAATTAACAATGTGAAATAGGAAGAAAAGGGCTACAGGTGCAGGGAAAGTGGGAAGGAAGGGTAGGGGAAAGGGAATGAGAGAAAAGAAAAAAATAGGAGAAAATGAAAAAATGGAAATAAAGTGTTTGTAAATAGGGAGGGGAGGAGGGTGAAGGGAGGGCAGGGACAAGGGGAAAAAAATGAGAACCAAGACCAGTCATGTAGAGGTACAAGATCCCAATAATGAATGTAACTGTACTGTACATCTAGAATGTACCAATAAACTCAATAAAAAGAAAAAAAAACTTTTTAAAAAACTTCTTTACATTTAAGATACCTCCTAGGCCAGGCATGGTGGTGCAGGCCCATGGACCCAGCACTTGGGAGGCTGAGGCAGGAGAATTGCGCGAGTATGAGGCCAGCCTAAAGGCCCCTCTTCTTCTATAACATTGGAGACTGGGTTTTAACATAAATTCGGAAGGGACACAGATACTCAAACAATGAGGCATTCTCACAAAGAAACCCATGTATTTCTTCCTCCACTGCAGGACCTTCTCTTCAACCCTGTAATATTCCAAATACTAAGGAGTTGTCTGTTCTACTTAAGCTTTCTATACCTAGGCTGCCCTATTTCCAGGGTCTTTTTTTTTTTTTTTTTTTTGGCACTTACAAGGCAAGCACTGAGCTAAATCCCCAGCCCCAGGGTCTTCACTTTTAATTCAGATTTATTCTCAGCGAAGTCCGAAGTTGGAGCCCAAATGGATGGAGAGTCTGCAAAGCCAGTTGGTCCTGGATGCAATATGGATTTTTTTCCCACTTACCTTAGGTGAAACTGCAGGGGCTGTGAAGGATCTCTCTGGTGTCATCCTTCACTACGAGGACCCTCAATGTTTGTCCTTGTGTACCTTTTCATTAGGGAAGAACAAAGATCTTGTTTCTGGACAAGCAGGTGATGCTCCTGCTAAGAGATACAGCACTCCCCATGCCACAGACAAGCCACACCCAAATGTTCTCAGGGCTGATCACCATGCACCCAAGGACCCAGTTCCTACATGTAGAGAGTTGCAGGCAGAAACAGAATTTTATCCATTTCCAGGGGCTGAAGTTTGTGTTGTGTCCTGGTTCCAATTTTGTCATCCTGAGGCCTCAGTGCCAGAGCTTCATGGTTAAGAGTTGCTTCTTGCCTTAAAATAGACAGACCTGCCGGGCACGGTGGTGCACGCCTGTAATCCCAGCACTCGGGAGGCTGAGGTAGGAGGATCGCTGTGAGTTGGAGACCAGCCTGGGCTACATAGTGAGTTCCAGGTCAGTCTCAACTACATAGTGAGACCCTGTCTCAAAAAAAAAAATTTTTTTTTAAATAGACAGACCCATTTCCAAATTATGTGCTCACCTGGGTGCTTGTTAAAATGGAAGTTCTTTGGCCCCTTCTCCAGAGACTGGTTCAAGCACTGTACCCAGGATCCTTTTATACATCAACCTCAAGGCAGTTCATGACTCTGCCCTGCAACACCCAGGCTAAAGAAGCCCTTAGGAGGCTGTGTGTGTGTGTGTGTGTGTGTGTGTGTGTGTGTGTGTGTGTGTATTACTGGGGACTGACCCCAGGCCCTTGGGCAAGCTAGCTAAACACCCTAGAACTAAGCTGCATCCCCAGTTCTTTTAAAAATTTTGAGACAAGCGTCTCATCAAGTAGCCCAAGCTGCCCCTGAACTTTCAATCTTCCTGTTTCTGCCTCCTGAGTAGCTGGGATAACAACCATGTATTGGCATGCTGGGTTGAACTGTCCATAACCAATTCTTGTGACACTGGGCCACATTTTTAACACAGTTTAATTGATTTTAAAAGGCTAGTGTACAGCATTAAACATGGGTCAGATGAATAATTTAATTGCATATCTAAGACCTCCAAAGATAATGTTCTTTATTCTGCTAATTTAAAGGTTCACAGATTTTCACCCATCATTTGATTACAATGAAATTTGCTCTGATTATTTAGCATCCTTTACTAATATCATAGCTCTTATTTGTGTAGCTCTGCTATGGCCCATGCATTACACTAAGCAGTTCCCATTGATCATATTTCTTCCATGAGATGGATAGTACTCCAGTTGCCGAGGCTCTAAGGACTCTTTAAGATCTGCAGGAACTCAGCTCTGTCACTCTGGAGTCTTCAGGTGGCTGCCTGGAAGGCCCCTGTGACTCAAATCCCCTAGCAAGCTTTTCTCCTATATTGTACTGATTTTTTTTATGTGTTGGAAATCTTTCCTCCCATGTCTCACGTGTCTTCTAAGCTTGACGCTTCCCACAGCATATTTTCAGGGTTTTGTTTTTGTTTTTTGGTGGTAGTAAAAGCTGTTATCTTTTCCCTTATTATGTCTCTTAGGGTTCATGTTTAGAAAAGACTTTCCCACATCACAGGTATAAAAATATCTTTTCTTGAGTAATTTTGTCATTTTGTTTTTTTCCCTCTAGAACTAATTTTTGTGGAAACTGAGGTAGAGATCTAACTCTAATAGATAGCTAGTTGTCACAAAGTACTTTTATTAAATAATCAATTTTTCCCCACTTAAAATCCTTTTTATCATATATAAAATTCTTGTGTTCCAGGATCTGTTTCTGGACTCTCTGTATTGTCCCTCTGGTCTGTCTGACACAGTCTGTCATGCTGATTCAATCCATGCTCACAGGAAAGTCCTTTGGGAGACCTGGTCCCTTTGGGAAACAAGTCCCTTATCCCCCCTCAGCACCACCCTAACTCCCATCTATTGCCACTTAGAACTGACTTGGTTTCTCCCACCTTTACTCTTCCAAATGAACTTTGGAACCAAATGAATCCCAGAAAGTATTCACTCTTGCAATTACATTGAATTTATGGGCTGAAGTGGGAAGAACCAAGATCTTTACAGGAATGTGTAGCATTGGGTCACTTTATGGAAAACTTAGTAGGTCTTTTTAACTCTCTTAGATTTTACTGATAGGCAGCTTTATTGTCTACAAATAATGGAATATAATTCTTCCCTACCCCCTCATCTGCCTTACTGCAGGGGTGAGTGGGGCCACAACACTTCTACATAACCTCAAGGCCTGGCTAGTTCCTGACTCTCACGGGGATGCCTGTGGTGTCTGACTCTTTAGAAACCCTGACAGAGACCTTTGTGTAGATCAGGATGTTTCTTCCTAGTCTAAGAGTTTTAATAAGGGATGGATATAAATTTTACCAAATATCTTTTCAGCATCTGAAGAGACTCGTAAACTTTTCTCTATTGATCAAAGCTGAAATAAAGGCTCATAAGCAGCCCTACTGCCTCCTAATTTAGCCTCCATAACCCTCATCTGTGCCAGGAATGGAACACTTCTGCCCAAAAATGGTGAAGCCCCAAGGCCTGCCTGTCAGGCACAGTACCAGAGGCTTCCCAAGCTACACAGGCACTCAGGGTCTTAGAGGCTCACTTTCTTTCATAAGAAAGGAAAGTTTTAGGGCCAAACCCCAGGACAGGAAGGAACTCTTGGGGACCATAGTGCATGAATTAAAGGGAACGAAGAGGGGTCAGGTAAGGAGGAAGAATCCCCCACATACACCCCTGTCACCACCCCAACCCACAAGTTACAGACCCACTGCCGTCTGAGGTTGGGGGTTTTGGTACCTGAAGTATCCTAAGACCTCTGCTCATAGGCCTAGCAAGTCTTTCTGGTCACCTTGCAGCCCCTAGCCAGGGCATGCAGGCCTAGTGGCCTTGAGAGTAGAGACTCACAGAAGGCAGCGAAGCCCTCGGGCCCTTAGGAGAAAAAGGGATTCCTTCTCCTCTTCCACCCCACTGACAACTGCTGGTCCCCATCTGTCTCCCCCCAGAACTGCTCTCATCTTGCTCCCCACACCGGGCCAGGACAAGTGGCCTCTACTCCACCACAGAACCCCCAGAGCCAGCCCTTGCCTATAGTTACCTATGTGGGCTGCTACCCACTTAGCCTCTCTGACCGCCTCTATCTACCCCTGCACCTTCTACATCCCGTTCTGGGAAAAGGGTGGGTGTCTGGACCAGGGCCCAGCTGGGCAACCACTCACAGAACAGCCCAAAGTAGAGCCTGGGATAGCCTGCCCTGACCAAGGGCCTCATCTCCAACACCTCACCACGTCTGCCCTACCTGCCAGTGGCTGGGCATGTGGGTTGCCCCAGACACAGAAGCAACAAAGAACAGAAAGCGAGAGCAGAGCCCAGTCTGTCACAGTTCCGAGAGGCAGATTGGATGGGATACCCAGGGTGGCAGTCTCTGTGGATGAACTTTTCTTCAGGCCACAAGAAGCCCTAACCCAAGCGGAGGCGAAAGGTGGCGATCTCCATGGGCTCCACGTAGAGGTCTGTGCTGTTGGAGGGTGAGGCCAGTGGGTAGAGTAGGGTCAAGGAGGTTGGCTGCAGGAACACTACATCCAGGCCGTGGAAAAGGCTGCCCAGGGCTACCTGTGGGACAGAAAGGCTGGGGTCCATGGGGTGCTGCCACACCAGTTATCAGGCTCTTCATCTACATCACTTCTCTAAGAATCAGAAAGGACAGGAACAAGATCAGGGTGTCCGCTCTTACCACTCTTATTCAGTATAGTTCTGGACACTTTACCCAGAGCAATTAGGCCAGAGAAAGAAAGAAAAGGGATACAGACAGGAAGGGAAGAGTCATATTATACTTGTTTGCAGATCATATCATCCTATACTTACAAGACCAAAATAGACTTTTAGAGCTGCTAGATAAATCCAGCAATATAGTAGGATATAAAAATTAATACTAATGAATAGTTTAGTCAGGTGTGGTGGTGCACACCTGTAATCCCAGCACTCTGGGAGGCTGAGGGAAGAAGATCACAAGTTCAAGACCTGTCTGGGAAACTTAGTGAGGACCTGTTTCAAAGTAAAAAAAAAAAAAAATTAGGGCTGGGGATTTAGCTCAGTGTTGCCGCCACCTACCTCACAAGCACAAGGTCTTGAGTTTGATCCCTCATGCCAAAAAAACAAAACAAAACAAAAAAAGTTAAAAGGAGGGGCAGGGGATACAGTTCAGTGCCAAAGTCCCAGGTTCAATTCCCAGTAATGGGGGGGGGGCAATAGCCTTTTTATACACCAATAGACTAGCTGAGAAAGAAATCAGAAAAATAATTCACAATAGCTTCCAATAAAATCAAATACCTAGGGATCAATCTAGCCAAAGTGAAAAACCTCTGACATGAAAATTTTAGAACACTGAAGAAAGAAACTGAAGAAGACACCAGGAGATGGAAATGTGGGAGAAGTTCAAGCCTGGCTGGGCTAGGGGCACCGCACTCCTGTCTCCTGAGCTAACTCGGAGACCTTGCTAAGGCTGAGCTAACTCACTTAAGTGCATAGATGCTGGATCCAACAGGCTACACCTCCGTCCCTAGTCCGTGACTCCTTTGCCTCGCCCAAGAAAAATCACTCCACCGTGCTCCCAATAAGGTATCACCAAATGTTAAATGCTCCCCCGACGCTCCTCCCCCATGGTTGTCCCTATATAAGCCTGTGCATTTCCTGAAAAAAAGCAGAAGCTTCTAGAAACCTCCCCCGAGTCTGCTTGGTGATTCCATGCCTTACCCTTCCAAGTTGGAGCTCCCGAACCTTGTTCTGTGAGGGGGCTCGCGGAGGACAACATGGAAAGACCTCCCATGTTCACAGATTAGTAGAATTAATATTGTCAAGATGGCCATATTATCAAAAGTGATCTACAGATCCAATGCAATTTTAATAAAAATGCCTATGACATTATTCACAGAACTAGAAAAAACAACCCTAAAATTCATTTGGAAACACAAAATATCCCAAGTAGCCAAACCAATTCTAAGCAGTAAAAAATATGGTTAGAGCCATCACAATTCCCAATTTGAAATTATATACACAACCACAGCAACAAAATCAGCATGGTATTGGCACAAAAATAGGCATAATGACCCATGGAATAGAATAAAGGCCACACAACTAAACCAATACAGCTACAGCCATCTGATTCCAGACAAAGGAGCCAAAAAAATGTGTGGGGAAAAGACAGTCTCTTTCATAACCGGTGCTGGGAAAATAGGCCATCCATTTGAAGAAGACAAACTAGATTCCTATCTTTCACCCTGTACAAAAATCAATCAAAATGGATCAAAGACCTAGGTATTAGATTTGAAACTTTAAGGGCTGGGGATTTAGCGTAGTGGTTCCACCGCCTGACTTAAAAGCTCAAATTCCCAAGATTAATCCCCAGTACCAAAAAAAATTTTTTTTAATTTTAAAAATTTAATAAATAAATAAGTAGATTTGAAACTGTGAAACTGCTAAAAGAAAATGTAGGGGAACATCTGACGCCATAGGCACAGGCAGAGACTTTCTGAATAGGATTCCAACAGCACAGGAAATAATGGTAAGAACCAACAAATGGGACAACATTGAACTAAAAAATTTCTGCATACCAAGAGTAACAACTAAAAGAATGAGCCTGCAGACTGAGAGAAAATCTTTACCAGTTACTCTTCTGACTGGAGTAATACTCTATCTAGAAATATAAATATATAGAAAATAAATGCACAAAAAAATAGCTGAATCAATAAATGGGCAAATGAACTGAACAGACATTTCTGTTTTTTTCGGTACCTGGGATCAAACTCAGGACCTTGCATTTGCGAGACAGGTGTGGCACCACTGAGCTAAATCCCTGGCCAAACATTTCTCAAAAGTACAAATGGCCAATAAGTATACAGAAAAATGTTAAACATCTTTAGCTATTAGGGAAATGCAAATCAAAACTGCCCTGAGAGTCCCTCTCACCCCAGTCAGAATGTATTCATCAAGAATACAGAAAACAATGCTGGTGAGGGTGCAGGGGTAGGGATGGAGGGAGAGAACCCTTTCACAATGTTGATGCGAATGTAAATTCATATAGCCATTATGAAAATCAGTATGCAGGTTCCTCAAAAAACTAAAACAGAGCTACCATTTGATCCAGTTACAGCACTCCTTGGTACACAACTGGAGCAATGAATCAGTGTCCATTTAACTGCAGCACAATTCATAATGATCAAGATCGGAACCAGCCTAGGCGTCCACCAACAGATAAATGGGTAGAGAAGTGCGGTATATATACACAGTGGAGTATTAATCAGCCATGAGAACAAAATTTTGTCATTTTCTGGAAAACAGATGGATCTGCAAAGCATCACTTTGAGCAAAATAAGCCAGACTCACATAAATACTGCACATTCTCTCTAATACAAGGAATCTAAAAGAGATGACAAGAAAGAGGAGAGATCATTATTAGCCAAGAGGAAGGGAATAAGGAGGAGGGCAAGGGCAGGTAAGGGAGGGTGATGGGAAATGGATATGAGCAAAATATGCTATGTGTACTGCAACCCCCCAAATGTGAAACTGGGGGGGAAAGGTGAAGCAAAGCGGGTAATGGGGAATGGTGGTGATCAAAGTATGTTCTGTGCATATATAGCTCTGTCAAAATGAAAACCATGAATCTGTGTGACTAATAAGAGAAAAAGAGTGAAAAAATATTAAATCTGAAGGGCTGGGGTACAGCTTAGTGATGAGTGCGTTCTAAGCATGTGCTAGGCCCCAGTTCTGACCCCAGCACTACAGATAAAACAAACCTGCCAGGAGCGCCAACCTTTCAGGAGCATCGAACCTTCACACGTGTGTCTGCAGCCAATCTCAGGCTCACTGAGATTCGCTCAACCCCAAAGCCTGTCCATGGATCGCAGGGTGGGAACGGCCACAGCCAGATGCAGGTCTTTGAGGACAGGGACCGTATCACGGTCACTTCTGCATCAGTGGCGCTTAGCCCAGGGCCTGGCACGTGGGGTCATTTATCAGTGCCTGCTGAGACCATGGGTAGAGCTCACAGAGGAAGACCACTGTGGGTTTGGGTCATCTCTGGTGCTTTCCACTTTGTGTGGAACAGATCCCTGCCCCTTGTCTGGAACTGCCCTGTCAGGCCTCAGTAACTACAAATGCATCCCAGCTGCTTTTCTCATCTCTCTCCAATGCCTATGTGTAACTCTTTCTTTCTCTCTTTCTTTTTGAAACAGGGTCTCACTGAGTCACTAAATTTCCCAGGCTGGGCTGGAACTTGCAGTCTATCTGCCGCAGCCTCTGCAGTGCTGAGAGTGCGCCATTGGGCCCGGCCGGGTGTAACACTTCCTCCTCCCATCCTGCCCCCCAGCCCACCCGGCCCAGCAATGGACCGCCCTACCTGCCTCTCTGTAGAGCTCCTGCCTCCCACACCTGGGCCTGCTCACCTTGCCTTGGCTTGTGGAGCAGTTGAACCCCAAGTTCTTGGCCTCCAGGCCACAGTCAAAACCTTTGCGGTGTAAGATGAGTGCAGTATCTGCTGAGGGCAAGTTATCCTCCTGGGAAAGGGACAGGATGTGGGCAGTGAAGGGCAGGCTGGCACAGAGCCAGGGCAGAGGCCGGAATTTGCCCCACCAGGGTGCTCACCTCGGCCTGGAGCATGCGCAGGTTGAGCAAATGGAAGTCACAAGGCAGCGAGGAAGCCAGAGGAAGAAAGGCACGCAGACTGGGGCCTGGGGATGGCATCTGGGCGACGGGCAGGGTGAACACCGGGGTGTTTAGGTACATGGAGGTCAGGTGGCTGAGGAGGGATGGGTAGCTGGTAGAGCGGTCGTCCTGAACCTGCGGGAAGTGCCAAGAGGTGGGTGAGGCACGGCCAGGCTGAGGGCAAAGGGAGGCTGGCACGGCACATCCAGGCCAACTCTTTTGCAAAGAGACTTCTTGGTAGGTCTGGCTCCAGGCCTAGCACCTCTAACCCTTCATATGTGGCTATTTCCCACAGTATCCAATTCAGAGGCCACGTCTTTCTGATATTTTTTTGCTTCCGTAACACTGAGATGAGTAGCATACTCTCTTCAGCAACATAGCCCATTAGAGACAGAGAGACAGAGCCCCTCAGTGCAGGCAGGGAATGTAGACAGATGTACCCTTCTGTTTACACATGTGGGACAAAAGGGTGGGAGATGAGCGTCTGATGGAGAAAGTGCTCCCAAGCCATCTCGGGTCCCCAGGAGGCCCCACATCCGCAGTGCCAGTCTGGTGCTCAGGGCCCCAGCCCCTGCGACTCTGCCCTCGACACCACACCCACAGGCTTACACACAACTGTCCTCCAAAGCCCCTACTCTCTGTCTCTGATTCCTGGCCCTAGCATATCCAGAATCTCACTTCCCTCTCCCCTGACCCAAGTTCTACCCATCCAAGGCTTAGTTCAAGTCCAAGCCACCAACACTTCCTATTTGAACAGCCTTTAAACTGTCCACCTGCTCCCGGCGGTTCGGGTAGTTCACTGAGGGCAGAGTCCTGACAGTGTCCCTTCTGCTCCGACCCTTTTCTGGGTACCCGGGCTCTGTGGCCAGGTATTCATGGTCACTACTATCAACCTAACCACCCCGCCATGCTCGCGCCCAGCACCAACCACAGAGCCTCCTGCACGGAAATCCACAGCATCTGTACTTCTAAACAGTAGCACTTGAGGCCACTGAGGAACAAAATGTGCCCAACGAGAATGAAAAACTGATCCTTTATTTCATACTAATTCACTGGGACAGGCCCACGTGTCTGGTGGCTACCACAGGACAGCACAGCTCTGGTGTAACTAAAAGAACTTGGTGCCAGTCCACATTCATGTGTCCCCAGGGCTCCCACCAGGTGCCATGGCATCCACCAAAGTAAGCCTGGCCCACACCTCCTTCAGGACCTCCTGTGACCTCTGCAGCCCCCAGTGTAATCGCTCTCCTCAGGACCTGGGCACACATGTCCACTTTTACCCCAGCCCTACTCACAAGTAAGTTCCTAGAGCCAGCAGCACTGTGCCTCTGCGCCTAGAACTGCCAGGACTCAGTGTTTGTGTGATGGGTGTGGTTGAGCCACAGACCCTAGGGCAACAAGCAATGGACTCAGACTACAGGGACAGCTTGCTGGGACCGGCCAGTCACTCCCGTCGCCCACCCTTACCTCTCGGTCACTGCTCCTGCTGCTGGGAAAGACCAAGCCCCTAAACATGGCTGCCAGTTTGCAGAAAAAGCCAGGCTGGTGGGGCAAAGAAAGCCATGAGATGAGCGGGGACAGGCAAAGGGTTAGAGAATGCTGTGGCTGGGGTAGGGTGGGGGCAGCAGAGAGGAAGGTGGGAGACAACACAGGGCACAGGCAACAGTGGGGGTGGCACGGTGAATGAGATGGTCAGGGAGATGCAGACAGCTGCCTGCCACAATCCGGACTTAGCCCTGCTCTGCCTGTCCCTTGCCTCCTCTAGGGAGGCTGTAACACCCCCCCGCTACATACCACCCCCACCCCGTCACCACGTGACAAGCCTGCACTGGCCCCTGGGCACCAAGCCCAGGTTTACCTCACTGCCCATGGTTCGCCGTTCAAGCAGGAGGCGGAAACGGTTCCAGGTTCTCTTGTTGTCCTTGAGCCCTTGGCCCAGGCCTCGGTTATCATCCTGCATCAGCCGCCTGTCCAAGATCACCTCCAGCTGGCCTGGGGAAGGAATGAGCCCAGAGGAAGGAATGCCACCCCACCCCAGAGTGGACAGCTTGCGGAGGCATGTCCCTGACACAGCCCCAAGGTAAAAGCCTGGGAGAGAGACACCAGGAAGGCTGAGAGAGTGGCCCTGTGACCCTGTCTCACAGATGAGGAAACGGCAGGCCCAGAGAGGGTAGTCATGCTCTGTGACTCAGGAGTGGGGCCCAAGTCCAGGAGCCCCAGCACAAAGCCCTACCTAGACATCACATAAAGCAAACTAAGTAAGCGAGCAGGGGACAGAGAGCAGCACCATGCCCAGGATCACTGCAGATTCCATCTCTGGGGCAGATTTCTCAGGCTGAGACTCAAACCACCTCCTGCTCTACACGGCAGGGGACAGCCAGAAGGTCAGCGAGCCAGACGCCAGCTCTGATGGCCTCGTCCGTCAGAAGTTGGGCTATGGCGAGGACAGCCAGACGGTGAATGAGGAGAGGCTCAGATTCTTGGGGCTCCCTGGGGGACACAGCTGGCTGATGGCCACCTCAGCTTGCCTTATCCTTTTTTTCAGTACTGGGGATTGAACTCAGTCCCCATTGAGTTATATCCCCAATCCTTTTAAATTTTTTTCTAATTAAAAAATTAAGACAAGGTTTTGTTAAATTGCTCAGGCTAGGCTCGAACTTGCCTCCTTCCTCAGCCTCCCACACTGCTGGAATTACTGCTGGGTACCATCATGAATAGCTTCCAGCACAGTTTTGTTTGTTTTTAAATTTTGACACAGGGTCTAAGTCACTAAATTGTCCAGGCTGGGTTTGAACTCAAGATCGTCCTGCCTCACCTTCTGGGCTGGGATTATAGATGTGCCACCATCCATGCCTGACTCATCTCTGCTATTTTTTTTTTTTTTTTTTTTTTTTTTTTTTTTTTTTTTTGGGGTTAAACCCCGGGGGGTACCACTGCTTA